TGTCAGGGTGAAACTGGTTATCGAAGGCTTCTTCTGTTACTCTTCAGTGAATAAACTTAAACCCTTTTCAGCATAGAGTAGAATAGTTATTAGCCAAACAGTGGTCAGAAACCTCATACAGCTGATGGCTAGCTGTCATTCGATATTTTGATATTACCATTAGATGTTCAAACAAATCTAGTAAATGTCCCATGGATGTAGACTACAACAAACCTCCTCTTCTTGCAACTGATACACTTCATTTTGAGAAACTTGTTCCTTAAAGGCCTCAATAAACTTGTCACTTAGTGACTGATGTATCACTACATTTCTGGCATTCCTAATTGGAGCTTGCAACTTCTCCCTCAAGTCACCATAATCTGTAGAATTGAGTCTGATTACAAATGGTTTGGTTCCTGGTGTTATGCTGGACACTCTGATATTCAAGAACTGCACAGCAACATTGCTCTCATGGGAAATGTCATGATCCTCGGCATGAATGATTGACAGATGGACATCAGGCTGATGAGCAATGTCAACTTTATAGGCCGAGCATTTAATTATCCAAGAGTCTGTGATGTAAATGCTGGTTCCACCAATGATTGAAGAGAATTTGGTAATGCGACGGAACTCTATATTTACACTTGATGCCACTGCTCTCCAAGGGGTGCCATGTTTATGTAACAGCTTTGCAAATGGATGGTTTGACCTGTAAAACATTTATCATGATGATGATGTTAATAAATAATTTGCTATAAGATTTCAACCTAAAATATGTTCTGGACTTATTTTCAATTTGAAGACATACTTTGTTCCCTAAAGCTGGCTCAAATCAAGGTAAGAGGTGCATACTCTTTACAAGTACTGACATCATCAGTGTCATAAAACAATGGAATAGTGTGATTTCAAATAAAAATGGGAAGTGACTTCATAACAAGAAATAAGTCTATCATAGCTTACCATTTATTCCAGGACCAGTATCGTGCACAAACAACACCACAAAGAGCAAAACTCAAGCAGACTAACAGAAATACATTTGCTGAGAACCCTGCTCGTGCTGGTTCAAATAAATGAAGATTTGGTGACACCAGACCCAAGCCAATATAGTAACCTAGGATTATCAAATAACCAAAATAGCAAAATGAAACAAAACAGTATCTATTGATAAATACCAGTTTTACTTATTTTGAGCTAGTTTTAGATCCAAGTGAACTGGCACACAATGCATGAAAAAGGCTATTGAGCTCTGGCTCACTGTAAGCAATGTGGGCCTATACATTCCTGTGTACCGAAAAATCCAACATTAAAGCCCCCCTGGTTTTGCTGGCCACTGGCTACTTCATACAACCCTGTGGAGGTCATGGTCATCATCGACATTGAAGGAAAAACTTGAAACATCAACAGGGGTTTCAATAATTTTTGGCACAAGAGGGTAGTTTAGAAAAACAGGTGGGTAGTTTCTTGGAAGGCCCAGAGGGTCTTCCCTGGGAAATTTTGAAATTCTAGACTCTCCCAGATGCATTTTCGTGGGTTTTAAGGCCTATTTTTATGTTGCTTTTTTGTTCCTAGAGGTCAATCAATTAGAAAGACAAGGTTGATAACATGTGGTATTTTAATTCCTCCCATTCAAATCTATTCAGGAACAATACATTATATTTCACCACTAAAAGAAGCATAATATTAAAGTTTATACACCTAATCGAAATGTGTCCCTTTCAATACAATCAACTAACCTTGCGAAGAATCATTCTTCGACCTCTTTTGTTTTGAGGCTGGAGCAAAATATGCTAATAACAATTGCCTTTTGGCAGCCATTATCATTCATGCTTTGTCCCAGTTTCCTCTCAATTTCAGCTGAAGTGCCTGGCACATTTTTTTTCACTTTGTATTGACGCGATTGTTCTTGCATGTTAGGTCACACTTTTCATTCGTGGTCCAAAAGGCTGGGTTAACACTAGAAAGTATGTTTCTTTTTCTTTACCTATAACACAAGACTTATTTTGCCAAATTTCTTGAAGAGAATCCTTAGCTGCGAGGAAATTATCTGGTCTTAGTTATTTGTGTACGGCTACCTGGGACCGCTACAAGCAGGTAGTCTGCTCATTACAAGCGGGTAGATCTACCCGTTACCCGGCTATTATTGAAACCCCTGCATCAACATGATATCATACTGGCCTTAGGATCAAAGTTTTAAAGTAGGTGACTTATTGTTGGGGTAGGTAGCTGATTTTGCCATTTCTCTCCAAAAAGCCAGACCAACAGCCCAGCAGAGTAAGCCAAGATCATGTGGCTATTGAACACTATGGACTCAAGAGTGTGGCAGAAATAGAACTTACTCTCAAACTCCATTCTTAAATTCGTCATACTGGTTTCTAAATTACAACACACAGCAAGGCACCCAGTGCGGAATTCAAGCATTGCATCTAAGCTTAATTACACAAAATTTTTTGTGGGGTTGGGAAATTTGCAAATTGAAAGGATATATTCAGAATAACTTTTTCTCCCAAGAAAAAAACAGAAGTTACCTACTGCCTGGAAAATTTTCTAAAGTAATAAGAAGTCATAACAGTATAAGCAGCAACAAGAACTACTTGTAAACATATTAAGATTTTTACTTTACCTAGTGGGAGAAGAGAATGGAGAAGAAGTGTGGATGTTGTCCTCTTCAAATGATAACCAACAAAATCCATATCTTCACTCCCTAAATAACTGGATAATATATTCTGCACGGTTAAGCCAGCACTGACAAATTCTCTCGGAGGGGCCACGAAACACAGCGAAACCAGTACATAGGCGAGAGTAAACACAATCACGATTTCCTCCATTTTGTATTTGCCACGTTAGATTAGAGAAAAAAACTGGTGACTAAATAAGTGGGCGCATGTCATTTAACGTAGTCCGCTGGATAGAGGGGGTTCGGTTTCAAAATGGCGGGAGGCGAGGAGGTTTTCGAACTTCGCTAGAAATTTCAAATCCGATGGAGGTTCTTCCAATCCTAGAGAGTAATAACTCGCCGAAACCAAACGTGTGGTACGTTCTATCGCCAGAGGGAGAAGCTCCATGCATAAGGGTCGGCCATACCTGTACGTTTGTGGGTGGTGAGCCGCGGCGTGTTCTGGTGATAGGTGGAGCAAATCCTGATGGATCGTTCGCTGATGTTTATTCCTTGGATCTAGGTTTGTTATTGAACTATAGACAGCTTCATGTCCTTTTTCTTAAAGTCTTTTTTCCCATATTTAATTAGTTTACATTTGTCCTGAAATAGTGAGGACACTAAGCTAGTCCAACAACAACTTGAGCTTTTGCTTGTGCTCATGTCACGGTGATATTGATAGAAAACAGAACCTAAATTAAGGCAACAGTCTCGCCTAGTGACAGAAAAAATTGTCACGCGAGCAAAGAGTTAGATTATTTCAAAAGGTTGATTTTAAAAAGTGTGATTTTAAAAATCTGAAAGTGTGTTGCCATGAATACCTGACTGACAGTTGTCAATATTAGAGCTGTACCTGTTTAAAAATGGACGTAAGAACACCTAGTTTAGCTTCTGCTACACTGGCCAGGCATTTTTATTCTTTCAAGCCACCCTGTTAAAACGGCCAGATTTTTGTGGCCAGATTTATATGAAGATCAAATGATCTGAAGATTTATACAAAGATGAAGGGGGTCAGCTTTATATGTTCAGATTAAGTTTTTCCCTACTTGCACTCTATTTGCATGTGATTTACTACTTTAATAGTGGTTAATATTTCTTATAAATTATGGCAGATAAGTTTGAGTGGAGTTGTCCAGACTGGACAGGTATTGCCAGTCGTTATGAGCACTCAGCTTTCATTCCTGAGTGCAATCCGAAGAAAGTTTACATATTTGGTGGAGCACAACAAGCTACAAACTTGAATGACGTTCAAGCTCTTGATGTAGGTAAATTACTTTAAGTTACCGTTTAACCATGCCTTGCACATAAAGCTGACATGACTATCATTAGGGCTATTTTACACTTGGATTGAAATCAGAATTTTAGTTCTACACCAATTAGGACACTTCTTGCTGTGATTTGTCAGGCTTGTATGTTGTAAAACTAGAATG